GGAGGCCGAGTAGAGGGCGCTGTGTGAGCGGCGGAGCTTGCCGGCTGGCCAGAAATGGGTGGAGCTGGCGCGGGGTTTGAACTGCCGCGGTGTGGAGCTTGGGTGTTTTTTCGGGCCCTTGCCCTGAAAGGGCTGAAGACCTACAGGTGGGGGAAAGGTCTCTGTTCGGGCCTCACCCCAGGGCTGCTCGTGTTAACACCTGTTGTTAGCTGGTTCTCAAAGCGAGATTTTCGTTTTAAAGCTTTGCTTCAGGGTTGCACAGTTATCTAAATCTTTACCGAGCTGGTGTAGCGGTCCTACTGCTACGGTTTTAGAGACAGAAAGGTTAAGATGAGAGGCAAAATCTACTGTGTAGGCTTTCTGTAGTGTTCTGAATTGGACAAGTGGAGATCTACTAAACAATTAACTCACCAGACCATAAATAACCTTTTACCCCTGTTCTTTTAAGCCCAAAGAAGTTAATTTTTTAAAAAACTTAAGTCTGCTATTTTTGCAGAAAAGCCTCTTGATTTTTGTTAGTAAGCAGCAATATTACTTAATATGGAATTCGGTAAGTAACATCTCTTCTTGTTTGAACAGTTTAAATTTAGGACATTGTAAAGATGAAGTTATTTACTAGAGGGTTTCGAAGAACTGCATTGCTGTAACCTAAAACCTTCAACAGATGACTAAATAGGTGCTCAGCTTCTTGGTTAATATAACACTGCCTGTTTAGAAAATGGAGGGGATAATGATTTAGATGTACTAAGAGTTTTTTGAGCCGTTTGCTTGAATGTTGCTAGTTCTGAGGAAAGAGGAGTAGTTTGGGGGTGTACTGGAGTTTGTATCTGAAACCCTGCAATGGCTCAGTCTTTGTATTATCACAGCCCTAAGAATGATAGAGGTTAGTATTAATTGTAGGTATTATATGACACAGTTATTAGTTTCTTAAATTAGCCAAACCCAGAATTGCATTGTAATTTCTTCTATAGCCCTATATGTCGTGAGTTCTTGTTTCAGTATATGTTTTACTAAGTACCTTTTATGTACCCAGTTTTGAGCTTGGGCTAGTAGTCAATTTGCAGTTTATTCCGTACGCCTGGAGCCATAGTATGTCCTCTGAATAAGAACAAATTAAATTTCTGTTACTGAGAAAGGAAAACAGTGTTTTAACTAAAAAATATTCAGTGCTATATATTTTCAGAGTGTCTAATGATGACTTTGTGTTTTTGTTTTCTAAGCAAAGAATGTATTTAATTATTGTTTTCTATAGGATGGAGCACTTTTTGAAAGACCGTTATAATAGTGTAAATAGATACAGCTCAAGTTCTAAGAAAGTAAACCTTATCAGGAGATATTTGTGAAAAATTTATTAGCATATCATCATGCTGTTAATCTTGGCTGTTCACTAAAACAAGAAATCACTGGGTTTTTCTTAGTTGGAGAAAGTACTTACACCCTGGAATTTTACTACAGGAGTGTATTTTGCTAGTTAATTTTCTGACCCCTAAACATTGAGGGTATTCAAGTATGTAATAAATAGCTAATATAGTGTAACTAGAGTTTGTATCATGGATTTAATCAGAAATGTAGATTTGTTGCGTAGAAACATCTTAATCTTTGTAGTAAAACAGTTGGCAAGCATATTAGGGGTTGAGAGTTAGAAAAGGATTTGAAGAAAGATAGATGTAATAGAGCATTATTTCACTGTTACCGCAAATTTGTGTCACTGGAAATGTTAGTTCTTGGAGGGGTAAACAGTTGTAGGACAGTTGTAATGTACTCTTATGATGTTGACTTCATATAATAAGATTTGATATATAGGCTTGTATATAAATTGCATTTTATCTTAATTTTTGAATTCTAAAGAACAAATAAGTCTTTTTTTTAATTAAGCCATTTAAAAAGTTAATTTCCATAAGTGATCTTCACCTCTAAAAGACTTGTTTTCATTTCTTTGCAATGCTTTTTATCTTTGTCATTATTTAAAGACCTTTCTGTGTAAAGTTCAAATCTAAGGATTCCGTTTTGAGGAAAATTTTTGCTATATTGAGCATGCTGAAGCTGGAACTTGCTTATGTTGTATTGAATATAATTGATAATAATATTTCAAACATAGAACACTTAAGAGGTTTAACAAGCACTAGTGTCTTTTTAGAATATTGTATTGATAGTTTTAATAAGATAACCTTATTCTTAGTAAAAAATGCAAGACTAAAAATATCTCAAGGGATTCTTGATTTTATAGCTAGAAAGTGCTTAGATTTTTCTTTAGGTTACACAGAGAAGTTTCCTTAACTACTGTTTGTTCTAGAAACTGGAACAACTCAATCAATACCCAGATTTTAACAACTACCTGATTTTTGTTCTTACAAAATTAAAATCTGAAGGTAAGTAGGGTTTGTGTTGATAACTATTTAAAAGTGTCTTTAAGCCCTATTAAATTATACTGGGAATTATTTATTTCAAAGGATTACATTTTGTAGTAACCACATTCTGTAAGCATTTACATGCTTATGCATTCAGTTGTTAATGGGTTTTTATATAATTCTCTCATTCTTCACAAATAAAAAACGTGTTGCAAAGGCTACTTTGGTTTTTTGCTTCAGTGTTTGTATATGAATATAATAAAAATTGATTTAATATACAGATTGAGTGCAAGATTTAATAATTAACTGTGTTCATTGTAGGAAAAATCAAAAGTTTGTATAACAAAAATGAAAAATTACTGGTGACCCAGAGATAATTATTGCTGATCTCTTGAATTATATCCTTCTATACTCCTTTATATGGCTATAGATACGACTTTTAAATTATTTAACAAAAAATGGGATTATTCTACTCAAATATACTTTTTAGAAACTTCAAACAGTATACATGTAACTTTTTCATTAACTTTTCTGAACAATTTTCAATTTAAATTCTGTGACAATTTAAAGCTTGAACAGTCTGATTTTTAAATTACATACCTGGTCATTTGATTGGTTTTTTTTGTTTGTTTGCTTGTTTTGTCTTTTTCGTGACCGGTAAGGGGATCGCAACCCTTGGCTTGGTGTCACCCGCACTGCGCTCAGCCAGAGAGCGCACTGGCCATCAACACATAGCATCCGAACCCACGGCGGCAGCACCACTGCGCTCCCAAGCGCTGCACTCTCCCGAGTGCGCCACGGGGCCGGCCCATTTGATTGTTTTTAAAACATAGTGTGTCCCAATAAACAGTATTTCACAATAATGTAAAGCACCAACTCTTTGCCAGGCAATTTGTAGGTTCAGGAGAGATTGTTCTATGTTGTAGTGAAAGGTATTCTTCATGGCATTATTGAGTTGAGTGTTCCCTTCCTGGAACATTGTCAGAAAATATAGAAGATGCTCAAATATTTATTGAGCAACTGACTAGCTTCTCAGTGTAAGCAATATACTGTATTCAGTGATTAGTGTTTTAGAAGCCATAGTGTAATTAGAGAAAACACTACACTTGGGAAATAAAAAGCTTTAGACTCTGATGCTAAGTCATGTAACCTCTCTTGCTTCTTTCAGCTATAAAATGACTGTGTTAGACAACAGACCATCTGTAAGGTTTCAGCTCCAAACTCTAGAAGGTTAATGGTCTTAATTTGTAGTAAAATCTCAATTAATCTTGTATTTAGAGTCTGATAATTCATACAGATAGTGATTTTTTGAAAAATTGTTCTCAAATGATTTTCTAGTTAATTTGGGGTTTTAATTTGTGAATGAGGGACATAATAGAAAATTTAAAACTCTAAATCTAGGTTTTGTGAAATGAGGAATTCTTTCATCATTTCTTTAAATTCAGCAACTAATGTTCCTAATTTGATAAATGTATTTATGATACATTGTTAATACAGAAATTTTCTTACACAGTGGTTTGTAATCAATAATTTGTGCCATTTATATTTTAAAGAACTAAAATATTTGGTAAATGAATTTTTAAATCTGTTTTTCTTGAAAATTATTTTACTTGAAAATTTAAAATTTATTTTCACTAAACTGTCTACTCTGTTGTGTTCTCTCCCTACATTCCAAATATTAAGATTGTTACAATATTATAGTCTTTATTAAAGCTTTCTTAGGATATGAGGATACTTCAGAAGTAGTTTTTTGGTTTTTTTTTGTGACCGGTAAGGGAATTGTAACCCTTGGCTTGGTGTCGCCCGCACCGCGCACAGCCAGTGAGCACACCGGCCATCCCTATATAATAGGATCCGAACCTGCAGCCTCAGTGCTCCCAGCGCCGCTGCACTCTCTATTGAGCCACGGGTTCGGTCCCAGAAGTAGTTCTTTTAAAAAATGAACATCATTCAAATAGAGGAAAGAGTTTGGGTGCAGCTGCCTCCACAAACACTTATTAATTATAAACCATACTGTGTTGGAAAGGATTTCATTCAGATTTTCTTGACCCTAAAATGTATTTCTTTTGTTCATTAGACATAGTTTCTCAGTGGACTTAGGGGTTTTACATTTGTGTAACACTTGATATTTCTTCTTGTGCTTACTCCTTTACTTTTGTCCTGCCAAGGAGATTGGGACACCAGTTAGCCATGTCTAGTTTTCCATTAAAAAAAAAAATCTTATCATTGTGGCCACCCATATCAGAGAAGGAACAGTAACAACTTTAAGTGAAAATGTTTATTTAGTAATCTTATCACTGAATTTTGGAGTTAAATTTTAGATCTGAAAGGATCTCAGAGATCAGCAGGTCAAATTCCCTCACTTTACAGATGTGCAAATTTCCATCCCAATGAAGTAAAGTTATTAATTTTAAAAAAAAAAAAGGAAATGATTAATTGGTGGCTTTTTAGAATGGGTTTAGGACAAAGGATATATACTTTTAATATTAAATTGTTTTCACGTTGTGTTGTAGTTTATTAAAACTCTTCATCTGGTAACCTTTATTGTAGAAACAATATTGTGTATTTCTTGTAAAGAAATACACATGCCACTTGAGTAATTACATGACTTTTCAAACTTTGAAGAGAATTTAGAAGTGCGTTTGGTTTTGTTTTAAGTTATTCATTGGAATGGGTTGTAATTGAAAATGGAAAGTTTTTAGATGATGACATAAAAGCTCTTGAGTTGTATTGCTGTGATGACCTGAATGGGGTTTATGTGCAGAAAAACTGCTGTTCCTGCCTCTATGTGTGCTTTACCCTAGTTAGACTTTGGGAAAGTAATACTAACTAGAACAAGCTCAGGTTATTTAATTTTTTAATAAAGTAGGGAAAACAGTAGTGTTACCATAGTGTATTCTGCTAAACATAGCTTTTCATGTCTTACAGACCTTTGATAGGAGGGTGATACTGTAGAGTGGTTTAAAGTATGCTGTAGAACCAAGCTCTCAAGATTGATATTTTGGCTTCCCCACGTGGTAACCTTGTGTGACTTTGGCAGAGGCCTCGGTTTCTTTACTTGTGCAATAGGGTTAATAATACCTGTTTCATGAGGTTGTAGTGCTACATGGAAGGCACTTAGCAGTGTTTAATACATGATAAGCATTCAGAATATGTTAACTATTGCTGATATTGTTGGTATTGATGCCAGTTGGTAAAGCATGTTATTATATTCTATTAGTATTAAATTGCTTTTTGAAAATTTGTAAATACCATCTCTGGATTAAACTTTTTAAAGTAAATTCTATTTTAAAATGTTTTTGGAGATTTTTTTGCTTTGCTTTTTTAAATTACGTGAAAGTGATCCCATACATTCTTAGTCCACCTGATTTTTTAATAGCATATCTTTGATTAATACTTTCAGATCTATGATGATATTTATATCAGATAACAATAAAGCTTGAATACACTGACCATAACTCTTAAAGTAACTCTTTAAACTAAACCACTGGTTCTCATCAAGGGGCAATTTTGTCCCCAGGAGACATTTGGCATATCTGGAAACATTTTTGGTTGTCACAACTTGGAGGGGTGTGCTACTGGCATCTGTGGCCAGTGATGCTGTCAAACATCTTACAATGCAAAGGATAGCACCCCACAACAAAGAATTACCCTCAAGATGTCAGTAATGCCAAGGCTGAGAAACCTTGAGCTGTAAATCATGGAGCTAATCCTTTGATAGTCATTTATGATTTTTTTTGACTGGTTATAGCAAAATAAGTTGGTATGTCACAGTTTTTGAATGTAAATATCTTTAAAGTTACTGCTCTTGGCACATTTTAAAATGAAAACTACTTTAAAACTCAATACTATTGTCGTTTTATTACAGATGAACCCACAAGATCATTGAGTGGTCTCATCTTGAAGAATAACGTGAAAGCACATTTTCAGAACTTCCCAAATGGTGTAACAGACTTTATTAAAAGTGAATGTTTAAATAATATTGGTGATTCCTCCCCTCTGATCAGAGCCACTGTAGGTAAGTTATGTTGCAACAGTTTTGCTTACCTGTTTATGACTGTCATTTTTATAGATGACAGACCATTCATAAAATGAAAATTTATTTTATGTAACATGTGGTATTGAGTTTCTAGTTTCACTTTTACAGGTAAAGAAAAACTTTTTAAGTGTAGGTTTGTAGATTTTTACTATTTTCTCCCTTGTTTTTAATATTTGCCTTGTCTACACCTAATTCAACAGCAGTTTCTTTAGTTTTTTAAGACAGATTGTTTTCAGGGAAAGAACAACTTTCTGTCAGTTTATATAATATTGAATAAAATAATT